CTCCAGCGTGGGGCCCAGGTCTGGGGTGGGGAGGAGAACAGAGCTGTCAATCATGCGGGGTGATGTGCCCCCCACCAGGCTCAGTGTTACCCCCTCCCCTGGCGAGTGCTCACCCCGCGGGCTCAACACTGACCCCCCCTCCCCTCCCCGAGCTGGGAGACAGCCCAGGAGTCCTGGCCCCCAGCCCCCACTCCCCTCCCAAGCTGGGGAGAGAACCCAGGAGTCCTGGCTCCCAGCCCCCCCCTGCTCTAACCACCAGCCCCCACTCCCCTCCCAGAGCCGGGGAGAGAACCCAGGAGTCCTGGGGCTCCCAGTCTCACCTGATGCTGCCCAGTGGCCTGGTGGATGGGGAGGAACCGGAGGTTTTCGTATGTGGCTGGTTCTCTGCAGAGCTCACCGGCGAATGCCCCACCCGCCACCCTCCAGGGTTCGCTGTGCTCCTGGCACCTGCCCCCTGGGCGCGCCCCCTCCTCTGCCCCACCAGGGCTCAGCCCCCTGGCCTGGTCGATCAGCTTCGTCAGCAGCCTGCAGGGGGCATATCTCCTGTCGGGACAGGGCTCCCGGCATTCAGGGCAGGCAGGGGGGACACCCAGGGTGCCCCACGTTGTCTCGATGCAGCCCTGGCAGTAGACGTGGCCGCAGGGCAGGGTGACGGGATCCTGCAGCCAGTCCAGGCACACGGGGCAGGAGAATTCCTCGAAGAGAGACCTCAATTGGGGGGCAGGAGAGGCCATGGGGGGCAGATCCTGGCTCCCAGCCTCCCTGCTCTAACCAGTAGACCCCACTGCCTCCCTGGGCTGGGGGGAGAAGCAGAAGTTGCTGTGCCTGTTCGCTCTGCGGGGAGGCCCAGGGAAAGGTGCGGCACAGGTTACATTTGCTCTACCTACAACCGAGTTTATCACTCCCAGGGTGTGGGCCTGAGATCTCTGCTCAACACACCCAGCCAGAGAGAGATGCTCAGAGATAGACACGGAGCCCCAGCCAAAACACACCCACACCCACAGGCTAACAGCCAGAATCTCTCTCTCTCTCTCGCTCTTCACACACACACATACACATACAGGCTAACAGCCAGAATCTCTCTCTCTCACACACACACACATGCTAAGAGCCAGAATCACACACACTCGCAGACACACACTCACTCACAGGCTAACAGCCAGAATCACACAGAAAGACACACACACACAGAGGCTAATAACCAGAATCACACACACACACAGGCTAAGGGCCAGAATCTCTCTCTCTCTCACAAACACACACACACTAACAGCCAGAATCACACACACACACACAGGCTAAGGGCCAGAATCTCTCTCTCTCTCACACACACACAGAGCCAGCCACAAACGCACATGCACAAACATGCTTGCTAAGGGTCTCTCTCTGTCTCCGTCTCTCTCTCTCTCACACACCCCCCCCCCCGAGGTAGGTGATGAGCGGAGCCGGAGGCACCCCCGCAGCCCAGCAGGGGGCAGCCCGGCACTCGCAGGTCTGGTGGGGTAAGATGTGTTTACCAACCGCAAACTCTAGGGGTAGGGTTGCCAGGTGTCCGGTTTTCGGCTGGAACGCCCATTCGAAAAGGGACCTTGGTGGCTCCGGTCGGCGGTGCAGTGGGTTAAAGCAGCTCCCCGCCTGCTCTGGCTCCGTGCGGCTCCTGGAAGCAGCGGCATGTTCCCCCTCCGGCTCCTACGCATAGGGGCAGCTAGGGGGGTCTGCACGCTGCCCCGTCTCAAGCGCCGGCTCTGCAGCTCCCATTGGCTGGGAACCGCGCCTCTATGTAAGAGCTGGAGTGGGGACATGCCGCTGCTTCCGGGAGCTGCTTGAGGGAAGCGCTGCCCGGAGCCTGCACCCCGACCCCTCCCCTGCCCCAACCCCCTGCCCCAGCCCTGATCCCCCCCACCCTCCGAACCCAGCCTGGAGCCTCCTCCTGCATCCTAAACCCCTCATCCCCAGCCCAACCCCAGAGCCCGCAGCCCTCACCCCCTCACCCCCTCCCGCACCCCAACCCCCTCGCCTCAGGCCTCGGAGCCCCCTCCCACACTCTGAACCCCTCATCCCCAGCCCGGAGCCTCCTCCTGCACCCTAAACCCCTCATCCCCGGCCCCACCCCAGAGCCCGCACCCCCAGCCTGGAGCCCTCACCCCCTCCCGGACCCCAAGCCCCTACCCCATGAAAATAAGTGAGGGAGAGTGAGGGATGGAGGGGGGAATGGAGTGAGTGGAGGCGGGGTCGTGGAGAAGGGGCGGGACAGGGGGCGGGGCAAGGGTATTCAGATTTATGGGAGTAGAAAGTTGGCAACTCTTATCTAGTGGTGACAAGAACAGGAGTAGTTGTGGCACCTTAGAGACTAACACATTGATTAGAGCATAAGCTTTCGTGGGCTACAGCCCACTTCTTCGGACAATTCACCGCACCCTGGGGCTTCACTTGCATTGTCACTCCTCTATAGGGTTACCATATTTAGTGCCTCTGAAAGGAGGACACTTTAAAGGGGCCCCAGCCCCGCCCCCAGCCCCGCCCCAACTCCGCCCCCTCCCCAAAGTCTCCGCCCCCTCCCCTGCTTCCCGCGAACATTTGAGTCGCGGGAAGCCTGAAGCAGGTAAGGGGAGGTGTGGGGGGAGGAGGCGCGGCCCACCCCCGTCCCCCGGCACCGCAGGTCCCCAGCCCGTCCCCCGAGCCCCCGACCCGGCCCGGCACCGCCGGCCAGGCCCTCCGAGCCCCCGGCCCAGCACAGCATGTCCGATTTTCCCGGACATGTCCGGCTTTTTGGGATTTCCCCCCGGACGGGGATTTGGAGCCCAAAAAGCCGGACATGTCCGGGAAAATCG